GGGCCCAATTCAAGGTGCTGGTGTTATCCTACAAAGCCCTAAACGGTTCCGGCCCAAAATACCTTTCGGACCGCATCTCGGCCTATGAGCCCACGAGGGCCTTGAGATCATCTGGGGAGGCCCTTCTCTCGATCCCGCCCGCCTCACAGGCACGTCTGGCGGGGACGAGAGAGAGGGCCTTCTCAGTGGTGGCCCCCCGGCTGTGGAACGCCCTCCCTGTTAACATCAGACAGGCGCCCTCCCTGATGGCTTTTCGTAAGAGCCTAAAGACCTGGCTATTCGAGAAGGCATTTAATTGAGCCACACGAATCTGGTAATGACATTTGGAACGGACTATGGATTATGAGATTGGCTATGATTCTATGTTGTGATGGCGCGGATCTATTAGTGTGATTTAGATTAATGTGTAATTTGGTTGTTATATTGTATGTTTTTGTAGACTGTTTTTACATGTTGTACACCGCCGCGAGTCGCCCCAGGGCTGAGAGCGGCGGTCAACAAATGAAGTAAATAAATAAATAAATAAATCATAGAGACAAGTGCAACCTCCTTCTGAACATGATGCCACATGCCTCCCCGCACCTCGCGCTCCCTCTCTCTCTCGCCCGCAGCCCCGTCCACTTTGCTCTCCATCCACACAGGCCAAAGTTTCCTTGCTGGCTTCCTGTTTTCTTCACGGCTGCAAGATCCTAATTGTCCGATGTCAACAGGCAGCTCCCCTTTTCTTGGTTGCTTATCTCCCGATAACACCGATGCTCAAACAAAGGATGCAGCCTTGCGTTTGGCAAACAAAGGAAGTGTGGCCCAGTTTCGACCGAGTAAGCTATGCAATGTACACACAGCTTCCCTGCCAATAATAACAGAATGGCATCAATAATGTAAAGTGGCACTGGGGGCCGAAATACGTGGTGAGGCCAGTGGTGGCAAAGGAGGCGGCCTCAACACAACAACAACAGACAATAACAATACAATGCAAGCAAATTCAAAACATAAGCAATAACAACAACAAAACATTACACTATTACGCAATAAAACCAGGGCCGGGCCAGTGAAGGGTACAGGTTAAAGTGCTGGGTGTAAGAGGTGATATGTTGAGATTCTGGGCAAGTGCAATGTGCAGAGAGTCTTAAACTCTAATAAAGTGCTTTTGGGACATAGTGCTGGAGGTTATCCTATTCTGGAAAGGCACATCGGAATAGCCAGGTCTTCAAGTTCTTCCTAAAGACTGCCAACGTAGGTGCTAGTCTAATGTCTTTGGGGAAGGAGTTCCAAAGTCAGGGGGCAACCACAGAGAAGGCCCTGTCCCTCGTCCCCACCAAACGAGCCTGCGACACAGGTGGAATCGTGAGCAGGGCCTCTCCAGATGAATGGAGGGAGCGCGTGGGTTCATATATGGAGTTGGGGAGGGTATTCCAAAGTCGGGGGGCAACCACAGAGAAGGCCCTGTCCCTCGTCCCCACCAAACGAGCCTGCGACGCAGGTGGGATCGTGAGCAGGGCCTCTCCGGATGAACGAAGGGAGCGCGTGGGTTCATAAGCGGAGATGCGGTCACGCAGGTAGGCAGGTCCCAAACCGTTCAGGGCTTTGTAGGTGAGCACCTGCACCTTGAATTGGGCTCGGAAGATAAACGGCAGCCAGTGGAGCTCCTTGAACAGGAGGGTTGACCTCTCTCTGTAAGGGGCCCCAGTCAGCATCCTGGCTGCTGCCCGTACCAGTTTGAATTTCCGAGCCGTTTTCAAGGGCAGCCCCGCGTAGAGTGCATTACAGTAGTCCAATCTGGAGGTGACTAAGGCATGGACCACCCCGGCCAGATCAGCCTTTGCGAGGTACGGTCGCAGCTGGTGCACGAGTCTCAATTGTGCAAAAGCCCTCCCGGCCACCGCCGACGCCTGAGCCTCAAGCGTAAGCGATGAATCCAAGAGGACTCCCAAACTGTGGACCTGTGACTTCAGGGGGAGTGTAACCCCGTCCAACACAGGTTGCCACCCTATACCCCGATCCGGTTTACGATCAACCAGGAGGACCTCTGTCTTGTCGGGATTGACCTCAGCTTGTTGCCCCTCATTGAGACGGCCACAGAGGCCAGGCATTCATCCAGGACCCGAGGGGCTTCCTTGGAGTTAGGTGGAAATGAGTAGCAGAGTTGCGTGTCATCCGCGTAGAGATGGCACCCAACTCCAAAACTCCGGATGACCTCTCCCAGCGGTTTCATGTAGATGTTAAAAAGCATGGGAGACAGAATGGAACCTTGCGGTCCTCCTGCGTTGGCTTCCTCCGCAGGTCTCCTTGGACTTGCAAGATCCAGATGCGCAAACGAAGCATTATTTCATGTTTCTTCTGATGTTTCTGGGAATCCTGGTTGTTACATTGAGGTTGGGGTCTTCTTGGCGGTCTTGGGGTCCCAGGAAATGCCTCACCATCCAGGCAGAAGAGCAGTTTCGAGATGTTTCTTATTCAGGGGTTCACCTTGATTAATGCCAAAGAGGGCAGCGTGGGCCATTTAGCTCCCCTTGATGGTTCCGTCGAACAATATGATCCAGAGGGATTTCCTCCTGCTTTCTCAGCAAGGGATTTATAGCATAGCACCAAGGAACCCTGGCTCTGGTGACACAGGTGAAGACAGAAGTTAATCACCTCCCCAGACACAAATGCTGTCAGGATTAATTTGAGTTATGTATGTGTTTCAAATGTGCTTCTATGTATTGCAAAGATGGATGCCACTGTGAATGGAAAATACTGTGCAGAAATGTTTAGAGTTAAGGCTGTGATTGTGTGAACTTGAGACAGCTTTTCACGATTCTGATTGGTCTTGGTTTCAGAGATCTATACGCTTCTTACCAGTAGAAGGCATCCTGGTGATAGTCTTACCCAATGTGGTCTATGCTCTTGTTACATCCCGAATAGACTACTGCAACACACTCTACGTGGGGCTGCCTTTGAAGACTGCCCGGAAACTTCAATTAGTCCATTGGTCGGAGTATATTACAGGATATCCAAGTCTTCTTTCTAATTGCCGCTGTCCTCTAATCGAAGGCCTGGTCCCAAAGCCAAGTCTTTAGTTTTCTTCTAAAGGACAGGAGGGAGGTGGCTTGGGGAGGGAGTTCCACAGACGGGGGGCCACTGCCGAGAAGACCTTGTCACTCGTCCCCACCAATCGCATTTGCGATGGTGATGGGATCGAGAGCAGGGCCTCTCCTGAAGATCTTAAACTTGGTGATGATTCAGGAGATACGTTCAGACAGGTAGTCTGGGCCAGAACCGTTTAGAGCAGTGGTTCTCAACGTTCCTAATGCTGTAATCCCTTAGTACAGTTCCTCCTGTTGTGGTGACCCCCAAACATAGAATTATTTTTTATTGCTACTTCACAACTCGAATTTTGCTACTGTGATGAATTGTAATGTAAATATCTGATATGCAGGATGTATTCCCATTCACTGGACCAAATTTGGCACAAATACCCAATATGCCCAAATTCGAATACTGGTGGGGTTGGGATGGGAGGATTGATTTTGTCATTTGGGAGTTGTAGTTGCTGGGATTTATAGTTCGCCTACAATCAAAGAACATGCTGAACTCTACCAATGATGGAATTGGACCAAACTTGGAACACATATCTTCCATGACCAACAGAAAATACTGGAAGGGTTTGGTGGGCATTGACCTTGAGTTTGGGAGTTGTAGTTCACCTACATCCAGAGGTCACTGTGGACACAAACAATGATAGATCTGGACCAAACTGTACACAAAAACTCAATATGCCCAAATGTGAACACTGGTGAAGTTCGGGGAAATTAGACCTTGACATTTGGGAGTTGTAGTTGCTGGGATTTATAGTTCACCTACAACCAAAGAGCATTCTGAAGCCCCCCAATGATAGAATTAGGCCAAACTTCTCACACAGAACTCCCATGACCAACAGAAAATACTGTCTGTGATGGTCTTTGGCGACCCCTCTGACACCCCCTCGCGACCCCTCTAGGGGTCCCGACCCCCAGGTTGAGAACCATTGGTTTAGAGCTTTAAAGGTTAAAACCAGCACTTTGAATTGTGCTCAAAAGCTGATTGGCAACCAGTAGAGCTGGCGTAACAAAGGAGTTGTATGTTCCCTGTACGCCGCTCTGGTGAGCAACTTGGCTGCCAACCATTGGACTAGTTGAAGCTTCCAGGCAGTCTTCCAAGGCAGCCCCATGTAGAGTGTATTGCAGTAGTCTATTCGGGATGTAACAAGAGTGTGGACCACTAGATAAAAGGTAAAGATTTTGTCAGAGTTTGGCGGTGCACAGCAGAAGGATTGCTAGATCAGCAGACACTGTGTTGTAAAATAAGGACTCTGCAAGCTTTGAGTTACAAAAGAAACTAAGTTTTACTAAGCACATTCGAAAGACACGTCTTACTACAGCGAGCTACAAATCAGGAACTCGTCAAAACGAAAGTCTCTTCACATCTGCTTATCTCTTCTTGTTGAGACTAGTTACTCCCTTCTGTTCCCAGCAAGAGCAAACCTTATCTCACATCTCTCAAGGTTACATAATCACAGCCTCATAGAATAAACATTCTGCACAGCATTTCTAATACACAGTGGAATCCATCTTGGAAATACATAGAAGCACATTTAAAACACATACATAACTAAATTAATCCTGACAGGTTTTCCCCTGACATTAAGTCCAATCGTGTTCGGCTCTGGGACTCTGGTGCTCATTTCCATTTCTAAGCTGAAGAGCCAGCGTTGTCCGTAGACACCTCCAAAGTCATGTGGCCGTTGGCGTGACTGCACGGAGCGCCGTTACCTTACGTATTGATCTGCTCACAGTGGCATGCTTTCAAACTGCTAGGTTGGCAGAAGCTGGGGCTGACAGCAAGAGCTCACACTGCTCCCCAGATTCAAACCTGCGACCTTTCGGTCAGCAAGTTCAGCAGCTCAGCGCTTTAACCCACCACTGACCGTTATCTCAGTGAAATCTATGTAAGCCTGATGTTTATTTCTTTTTATTTTCCAGGACCAAGCGCCTGGGATTGTTACGAGGCTTCAGGAGCCCGCAGCCGTTCCAAATGCCGGGGCAGCGCCAGCACCGTCCACGACTATGGTGAACGGCTATACCATGAGGAACCATTTGCTGAAGCAGCAGATCATGAGGCGGCAGCAGCAGCAGCAGTTGCAGGTTGGTCCCATGGGGCCTCTCTGGGAAAGTGGGCAGCAGCTGAGCTTGTAGGGATGCTCTTTGCAAGGAGGCATTCACGCGAGGCTGGGACTTCTCAGAGCTCAGACTCCATTTTAGAATGCAGAGACACTATTAGACTTTAGACTGTTAAGAGCACATGGTTAGATCTGGGACTGCTCAGAGCTCAGACTCCATTTTAGGATACAGAGACACTATTAGACTTTGGACTGTTAAGAGCACATGGTTAGATCTGGGACTGCTCAGAGCTCAGACTCCATTTGGAATGCAGAGACACTATTAGACTTTGGACTGCTATGAACACATGGTTAGATCTGGGATTGCTCAGAGCTCAGACTCCATTTTAGAATACAGAGACACTATTAGATATTGGACTGTTAAGGGCACATGATTAGATCCGGGACTGCTCAGAGCTCAGACTCCATTTTAGAATGCAGAGACATTATTAGACATTGGACTGTTAAGAGCACATGGTTAGATCTGGGACTGCTCAGAGCTCAGACTCCATTTTAGAATATAGAGACACTATTAGACTTTGGACTGTTAAAAACACATGATTAGATCTGGGATTGCTCAGAGCTCAGACTCCATTTTAGAATACAGAGACACTATTAGACATTGTACTGTTAAGAGCACATGATTAGATCTGGGACTGCTCAGAACTCACACTCCATTTTAGAATACAGAGACACTATTAGACATTGGACTGTTAAAAGCACATGTTAGATCTGGGACTGTTCAGAGCTCAGACTCCATTTTAGAAAACAGAGACACTATTAGACCTCGGACTGTTAAGAGCAAACCCATGTTGCTGTAGATTGCAAGAAAGATGCCCTGTGTTCCCTGCACAGTGGAATTACTTAAAACCTATCTGTAACTGGATTGACAAGTAATGTCCCTGTGTGCTGAATACATGAAGGTTGTGAGTAAACCAGATATGTTACTTTTAACAAAGTCTACTCTATTTTTGTCTCTTGAGAGCATAATATAGAAACAAGATATTTTATGAGAGAGTGGATGTTTTTGGGCACTGAAAAGAACACTTCTGTATTTTGTGCTTTGGCATAATCTCTGCTCCTAACAGATCAGAGACAACAGGGTTATCAGTCTAACAACTGAGAACCAAATTACCTTGCATAAGTACATATGGATATATACCACTGAAGATAAGATTTTATTCGAACGAGATTTTTGGCTCTGGCAAAGAAGCCAGAATGGATGTCCAAAGAACTTCTAACTGTGCTAAAACACAAAAGAGACATGCACAAGAAGTGGAAAAAGGGAGAAATCACCAAAGAAGAATTCAAACAAATTGTCAACACCTGTAGGGAAAAGGTCCGCAAGGCTAAAGCACAAAACAAGCTCAGGCTTGCCAGGGACATTAAAAACAATAAAAGGGCTTCTTTTCTTATGTCAGTAGAAAAAGGAAAAACAAGGAGGCGATAGGGCCTCTTCGAGGAGAAGATGGGGCAATGCTGACAGGGGATAGGGAAAAGGCAGAACTACTTAATGCCTTCTTTGCCTCGGTCTTCTCACAAAAAGAAAGTCATCTTCAACCTCAGCAAGATGGAGTGGGTGAGGGATTAGAGGACATCCAACCCCAAATTGGGAAACAAGTCGTCCAGGAATACCTGGCCGCTCTAAATGAGTTCAAGTCCCCTTTCAGGGCCAGATCAACTACACCCAAGAGTACTGAAGGAACTAGCGGAAGTCATTTCGGAACCATCTTTGAGAGTTCTTGGAGAACGGGAGAAGTTCCAGCAGATTGGAGGAGGGCCAATGTGGTCCCAATCTTCAAGAAGGGAAAAAAGAATGACCCAAACAATTACCGTCCGGTCAGCCTCACGTCGATACCGGGCAAGATATTGGCAAGCTGGAATGTGTCCAGAGGAGGCCACTAAAATGATCAAGGGTCTGGAGAACAAGCCCTATGAGGAGCGGCTTAAGGAGCTGGGCATGTTTAGCCTGAAGAAGAGAAGGCTGAGAGGATATGATAGCCATGTATAAATATGTGAGAGGAAGCCACAGGGAGGAGGGAGCAAGCTTGTTTTCTGCTTCCCTGGAGACTAGGACGCATGGAACAATGGCTTCAAACTACAAGAGGGGAGATTCCATCTGAACATGAGGAAGAACTTCCTGACTGTGAGAGCCGTTCAGCAGTGGAACTCTCTGCCCCGGAGTGTGGTGGAGGCTCCTTCTTTGGAAGCTTTTAAACAGAGGCTGGATGGCCATCTGTCAGGGGTGATTTGAATGCAATATTCCTGCTTCTTGGCAGAATGGGGTTGGACTGGATGATGTCCCAAGAGGTCTCTTCCAACTC